TCCTGTGGTGAGTCGGGTTTATCATACTTTGAGTGAGGTGCTTGTATATAGCGAGGGAAAAAAAAGGAATGAAACAACGGAGACTCAGCTGCATGGGGAGGACAACCCCGCTCCGAGTCCGCGCCATCTTCGTCACTTAGTTACTTCGCTTAGCGCTGTGAAAGTTCGTGAGTTTGATCGCATTCCGTGAAAGTTTGTGACTTCAGCTGGATTTAGTGGAACTTCGTCACTTCCTCTGTACACTGTGAAAGCTCGTAACTTAACATGTATCAATGATCTAGTTGATGCCAACTGTTCTGTATCCACCTGTAACCCCACTTTGAGCAGTTAGGGCAAGCGCAGCACACCCTAACTGCAGGTATTCACCAGTTAGAGTTCAAGTGACGAGGTTTCCCGAAAATTACTTCAAATGATGAACTTTCACGCTTTCCCATCAAACTCACGAAGTTTCCCATTCCTAAGTGAAGTAACTAAGTGACGAGGATGGGTACAACTCTAGTCTCTCCTAGACAGATGCTTCAACAGTTCTAACTCATACCTTGTTTGTTGAAATTTAAATTAAACATATAGTCAAATGCATATGTATTACTTTTGGTAAGAAAAAAAATTGAGTCAGGGGTATTGCGGGAATATAATTATCTGCTCGATTTCTGTTGCGTTGCTGGTCCAAGCTGTGGATCGCAAGCGGAGGTAGTGGAGCGAGCGGCCCGAGCGTCGGGGCTGTTGGCAAACATCCGCATACAGTTTCTCAAACTTCACTTTCACACTGTGCCGCGGTGCTTTTACTTTTGTATCTCGACCTACGCCGTTGTTTCTCGGCTCGCTGCGTTCGTTCTCGTCGCGCCATCTCAAGATCTTTGGAAATACTGCAAATCTTCAATTCTCGGTTCTCAAGTTATGCGATAATCTGGGATAGCTTTTTGCGCGTTCGCAGTGGGATAGTGACTCGTGCTGCGGGGTTAGTGCACTGAGAGGCGTCAATCGTAGGTGGGTCTTTCTTTCTTTCTTTCCCGAACCCTTATCTTGTCCGCATCCTCTCTCGATGATATCCTTCACGACGCTGACACTTATCAGGAGTTCTTCTTAGCACTAGTGCCCACTGTGCACGACGTTCTGTACTCCCCGGCGCTGCATCGTACGCCAATCCAATCCACACCCCACCGCAAACACGGATATCCTCGACCCTAGCCCTTCGTCATGCAGGAACAGGCGCCGCATCCTTCGCCCGCCGCTCGCCGTCTGCCTCACAACCCAGCACGCTCCATGGGCCCACCACGAACGCGGATATCCTCGAACGTGCAGATCTTTCCTGCTTACAGTTCCTCGCGGTCCCAGGATACGACTGCAGGCGATTAATCCCTAGTCCTCGACATTATGTACGTCCTTCTCTGCATCTCCCATCCAACTGTTTCCTCTCCCCGTCCCGTGCTCGACCTTCTCTTCCTTCCCCCCTCCACCCCCCGTCGCTCCTCGTCCTTATTTCCCTCGTCATCCTGCCCAATTCCGCCCCCTCCGCTCCCAGAACCTGCGCTAACCTATCTTTATCTAGCTCTCTTTTTCGGCTCACCTGAATGCCCACCAGCACGTTCGTCTGTGGTCGTTGCGGATGTGGCACGCCCTCCCTCTTCCTGTCCTATGGGACGGCGGTATCCTCGCCACGTGTGGCTGTATTTGCCCACCGATGAGCGCCGCACGCGTCTTTTTCTCCCCGCGGCTGCTCTCGCGTATTGCGTCATCGATTTTGAGCACTTCAAGTTCAGCCCAAGCGAAATTAAAATGACTATTGGCATGTATAAATTAAAATGAAGGTAGTTAAATGATTGCCTACTCGGCTACTTGTTCAGTGTTGTTTAAGAAGTTAAAAATCGGCCTCTTATTGGTGTCTTGGTCCTCCCGGGCCATCCGTCTCATCCGACGAGAGCTGCCTCCGTTTAGTGCTCTCCGCGGGTTTTATGCGAACCGTCTGTATGCTCATAGCCACCATTCTCTCGGCCACTCGAGCATCCTGTGAATGATTAGTATGGGTGGCAATTTGAAGGTTTGAAAATATATCAGCACGCTGCGCGCAAAAAAAAAAACGACATATGGGTGCAAGAATTACCTTTCGCGGAGTATTACTCAGAATTCTTTGAATTTCTGTATACCGACACATATGCATATCAAAAGCTATATGGAAACTAGGTCAAGCAAAATTAACAGCTGTTTTCTGGAAGCCACGATTCGGCGACAAGAGAGCTGATGAACAAATAAACAGGCAGCACCTTACAGATGAAAAGTCATTAAACATGTATCAGTCTTAGCAACCTGAAAGCTCACTACCGCAAAAAGTTCCGGATATCTCATAGCGTGGAGATTGGGAATTATATTTAAACATAACAAGATAATAAAATTCAGGGTGCATGTTGAAAGCGAAAATAGATCCGATACATCAAGAGATAAACGAGCGGAATATAAATAAAGACACATATTCCAACATAGCTGGCTACTGAAGTGCATAGCCTATCAGGTTTTGGGCGCCACCAACTGGGAGGCGGTATACGCGTACTCGGTACAAAGGACAAAAAAAGTAAGTACGAGGTCATGCCGGGCAAAGCCACGGCCCTTTACCCCAAGTCATTCAGTGAGGCACAAATTCATACTCTTAATGCTCCATCGCTGTTATCTCAGTCATCCACTTTGAAGCCGTTGCACGAGCAGCTATTGAAGGTTTCCGAGGATCTCATTAAGGAGAAAGAAATCAACGAGCAGTTGAGGAGTGCCAATGCAGCCCTGGAAGCAGTGAGTTTTAGCCCGCGCACCTTCACTCTAGAATATTGACCAATATTCCAAGACGTACGCTCAACTGAATGTTCGAATAGGAGAGTTTCAGGACAAGTTCCCAAACCTCAAACGCAAAGCAGATCCCACGGATGTAGGCGGGAGAAAGAGTATGAAGCTCGAGAAGTCTGATTATGCGTAGGGTTGGGACGGTGCTTGCCTTTGGATATGCAGGAATTATTAGCTTTACACCGAATACCATTGTGATTTCGCAGAGAAGACATTCCACGGCCAAATTATTCTCGACTAGACCAGGAGATGAAAGATCTGAACCTATATATGAACGAAAGCAGCAGGAAAAGTGTGGAAAGTCGAAGAGAAATCTTCTACCTGCATCCGTATAATTTTCCAGTAGTCAGCTAGTCATCGTTATCAGCGAGAGATTTCAATTCCGATCTGTGTGCTGAGTTGAAAATAAGACATGAGCGCGACTACCAACTCTCAAGTTCCTCCAAACCTGTCGCCTTATCCACACGCGTGACCAGAACCACGAACTCTCCGTTCTTCACGTCGTCCCAGGCAGCGTCGCGGGTTTTCGGATCCATCGGGATCGGCGCTGTGCCCGTCGGTTCCAACCATGCAAAATTTTACCTCGGCTTGATGAATCTTCTTTCCATCCTTTACTTGTGGGTAAGGGTTGTGTACTTAATTTAATTGATATTCGCTCCGCATCAGATGTCCCGGGAATAGCGGACTAAACCTTAAACTGTGCATAAATTAGGTCCACATATTATCAGCTTCTTTTTCAGGCCCAGAAAATTTATACTAAGTGGTCGATTGTTAATCTGAGAATCATTGAGGAACAAATAGCTGACAACATTCACTGTTGCTGGGTCTGATATCGTAGGGGATGACAGGCTAAGCTTACAACTCTGCATAAATCAGGCTTATATATTATCAGCTTTTTGCCCACTATCATAAAATCTACACGGAGTTGTTGATTGCAAACATTCAAAGACAAGCAAATAGCTGACGAGGACTTCTGGTAGCTCTTCGCTGGGCAACGGAACGGAGTATATAAAAGTTTAAACCCGAAGCGACCGGATTAAACATATATATGTGCACCAGAATTTTGTTGAAACACCCACTCTGGGTTGGAAGTTCTCCTTGGAAAATGAAGTAGTAATACTTACTGGGTCTCCAACCTATTTTCCCCACCTTAGCCTGACGCGGCTCGGGATAACGACTCAATTTGGAAAATGCGATCAAATGCCGCAGGCATGTACACCAGACGTGTTTTTATTAAAGCACCCACTCTGGGTTAGATTTTCTCTATGGAAAATCGAAGTAGTAATCCTTCCAATATTTCCAACATAATCACCTTATCCTAGTCTGCCATGGCTCGGATAACGGCTTAATTCGGAAAAGAAAATGATTGAGCATGTAGGTCCGGACATCTCATTCTCAGTTTGCGCCATCCTGCCACCACACCTCTAACAATCTCTAGAACATCATCTTTAGTCAGTTATTACTTGCTGTATCACTTAAAGTTCGTTTTTAAAGCGGTAATTAATATTGGGCCGCATGTATAACCTCCTCGCTTGTTCTACAAAATACAGAAGACTCCAATAGTAATACATTGAGCATCCATTTATAAATTTTGGCATGTCTTGGATACTTACATTTGCCGCTTTTTACAACCATCTTGTAGGCTAAAATACTTCACAGGCCACTTGTTTACCCATCAATAATTACACCCTCAGGGGTGTACACATCCTGTCACAGCCATGTGATCTGTTACATCAGTCACTACATTGTGATTAGTTGAGTATTTAAAGCCAGTTTTTGGGTGGGTGCCAATTTCTTAGTGAGCTCGCCACTTTGGCGAATTCCTCCGGAGTCCGTGTTCGCAACTGTTATGCGAACGGCGCCCCTCGGTATTCTCCGAGATCTGCGGAGTTGCTCTTTGGCAGCACCCAATTCGGCATGCGATGAGCTTGCATTTCCAACCGATGAGCTTGCACCACATCTGATGAACATCTACATCTCACGAAGCGACAAAGTACATGAGGGCTCGGTGTGGAATCTCCTGTTGGAGAAGAAGAGGAGCTCCAGATGGGAGGACAAGAGAATTGATATCATTGGGGATGGAATTCTAGATTTTCTGCGCAACCATTTTTGTTCCCTTTGATTCATTTTTTTCAAGCTATATTCAGGAATCAGGTTTAATTGTTAGAGCAAAACACCTGTTGGCCCACTTGGCAGCGCACCCACAATAACTCATCCTGAAAGGAATAACATATGTGGGAGGCCCCAGTTCGACTCTGGGATGGGTCATTTGGCATTCGTTTCCTGCTTTTTTTGAAGCCAAAACCCTCCGCTCAGTATTCAGCTCAAAGTGTCGCAGTTATCACTACCTGGTATTTTGCGTGCACTCAGCAGCACACCCACCATAATTAGATGTTTCTTGAAAGAGTTAAGTATGTGCCGGCTCTTTCGTTTCATTTTAATTTCAAAGCTCAGCCTAGTGAAATTTATTCGAGGGAACGACCCGTTTGCGCACACCAGCAGCGCACCCACACTAATTTATCTGATAAAATGGTTATGTGGGAATTCGACTCTGGAATGGGTCATCCAGGCTTTACTGTGCTCTTTTTTCTGCCCATTTAAAAAGAAATTGGACTCTATGTTCTTGTTCAATTAGCGAGAGAGAATGACCTGTTAGTGCATTCGGCAGCACCGTCTCTTTCTTTGTCATGTGGGAACCCAGTTCAACTCTGGGATGGGTCATGATTGATCATTCGTTTGTAAGCTTCTCCTTTTTTGTTCGGGATCCTTTCATTTCATTTTATTGTAAAGGACCAGATAGTAGCCCGCCCACTACACCACCGTTTACGTTCCATATGGGACCCAGATGGGATCAGCCGAGGTCTGATGCACCTGCTTCTCGCATGAGATTCACAAAAACGGGTGGAAGTGGGGAGATCCAACATCACTTTAGGTGAAAAAGGCGGCATTGTCTGGGGTTCAATCCCAAAACCTCAGGAGCCAAAACAATAAGAGAAGGCACAGCATAGCAGCTGAGCTAAACTGAATGTAAAGGCAATATTCCGTAGAGACTATATAGCATAAGGAGGGTAAGCTGGCATAAATTTCAGTCAATTACACTGCAAACAGGTGCCACAGCAGGCCTGAGGTGGGCAAGAGCATAAGCAGAGCATCTAATATGGATATATGTAAAACAGAGGCTGAGATCAGGGGAAACCAATAAATATGACTCCCAGCCATCAAAAGTTAAGGTGGGCTGATGTGATTAATGCACGAGAATCAAAGTACTGGAATTCTCTAAGTCCAATACCCAGGTAGAGGCAATGTCGTGTCCAACATTGGTCCCAGGTTGGAGATTTCTTGTCACTCCCACGCCAATCCCGGCCGACTCTGGCACCGATCTGTTGCCATTCCCACGACGGATCAGGCTCACCAAATCTACATAGATTCTGTATTGGCCCTAGGTTTTTTGATACTACATAGATCCCACCCCAAAATGACGTCAAATTTATGCGAAATTAGGCTTGATTCCGCCCCTGCCTGTTTTCATTGGATCAGCATGGGATAGCAATCGGAGGTGTAGAAATTCAATCTCAGCGCGGACCTCTAACTTTTTTAAATTATTTCGGGATTAATAAATTATCTCATTTTACTCAACTAACACAGCAGAACGGCCCATTGGCGCAGAAGGTAGCATACCCATGATATTAGTGTATTGTTCGAATCTGGGACAGGACATCCTGTAATTTCTGTGTGCCTAATTTAAATTTTAAATTTTATCTGACTTGTTCATTTGATTTTAAATTTATACCTGTATATATTCTGGTTCAACAAAACAGAAGAACCTGTTTGTGCGGTGGGTAGCAAACCCACAATAACTGGCACAATATATCTCTCCATTATGTGGGTGGTCCCAGTTCAACTCTGGGACAGGTCATTAGGATAATTCTTTTTTTCTTCCGCCAGCCACCACATATTACATTGGAACTGAACTAAAGTGACAAGACCTGTTAGCACTACCATGTCAACAGAGGTGTGCTAAAAAAAAAAAAAAAAAATTCAATGGACAACGGCTGAACTATAGAAACTTAAGCTATCGAAGGTAAACACTATCACACGGTCCTATTAAGGTGTTCCACCAGTGACGGTAGATAACACTTTGCCCACTCGGTACCATAAGCAAATTTTTCATATGAAAGCAAGGTTTGCTGTCTGCCGATTATGAGTTTGTTAAGAGGCATCCAGAATCCAATTCTGTGTTCATGAGGCAGCCAGAAGAGCAATTCACCGGTGCTAGACAAGACCCAGCCTTCCTGAATAGTCCAAAAATGAGAAATATAAGGGATTTCAGGCTGAAATAGAAGGGAGTAAATCCTGGGAACCTATAGGAGAAGTTAGAGCTTACTTTGATAGAATTGCTGCAATAGGAGAGGGGCAAGCCTGATTGAAAAGGTTTTATGATGGAGTGGGCAACCTGGAGAGCATCCTGGGAGCACATATTGCTGTCCTGGGATCCAGGAACAATATGCTTTCCATAGGCTACTGATGTGACCCAACCAGTGTGGCCATTTAATGGCTTGCCCAATGGTGCTCCACTCGTGGCATCCCACAAGCGCACAGTGCTGTCATTGGAGCCAGAGACAATATGCTGCCCATCTGGGGAAAAGGCTACTGATGTGACCCAACCACTGTGGCCTTTTAATGGCTCGCCCAATGGTGCTCCACTCTCTGCATCCCACAAGCGGACAGTGCTGTCACGGGAGCCAGAGACAATATGCCTCCCATCTGGAGAGAAGGCTACTGATGTGAACCGATTAGTGTGACCTTTTAATGGCTTTCCCAGTGGTGCCCCACTCTCTGCATCCCACAAGCGCACAGTCCTGTCACGGGAGCCAGAGACAATATGCTTCCCATCTGGGGAGAAGGCTACTGATGTGACCCAACCAGTGTGGCCTTTTAATGGCTCGCCCAGTGGTGCTCCACTCTCTGCATCCCACAAACACACAGTCTTGTCATTGGAGCCAGAGACAATATGCTTCCCATCTGAGGAGAACGCTACTGATGTGACCTGATTAGTGTGGCCTTTTAATGGCTCGCCCAGTGGTGCTCCACTCTCTGCATCCCACAAGCGCACAGTCTTGTCATTGGAGCCAGAGACAATATGCTTCCCATCTGGGGAGAAGGCTACTGATGTGACCTGATTAGTGTGGGCTCTTGATGGCTCGCCCAGTGGTGCTCCACTCTCTGCATCCCACAAGCGCACAGTGCTGTCACCAGAGCCAGAGACAATATGCTTCCCATCTGGGGAGAAGGCTACTGATGTGACTGAACCAGTATGGCCTTTTAATGGCTCACCCAGTGGTGCTCCAGTCTCTGCATCCCACAAGCGCACAGTCCTGTCAGAAGAGCCAGAGACAATATGCTTCTCATCTGGGGAGAAGGCTACTGATGTGACCCAATCAGTGTGGCCATTTAATGGCTCACCCAGTGGTGCTCCACTCTCTGCATCCCACAAGCGCACAGTGCTATCATAGGAGCCAGAGACAATATGCTTCCCATCTGGGGAGAAGGCTACTGATGTGACTGAACCAGTGTGGCCTTTTAATGGCTCACCCAGTGGTGCTCCACTCTCTGCATCCCACAAGCGCACAGTGCTGTCAAAAGAGCCAGAGACAATATGCTTCCCATCTGGGGAGAAGGCTACTGATTTGACCAAATCAGTGTGGCCTTTTAATGGCTTGCCAAGTGGTGCTCCACTCTTTGCATCCCACAAGCACACAGTCCTGTCAGAAGAGCCAGAGACAATATGCTTCCCATCTGGGGAGAAGGCTACTGATTTGACCCAATCAGTGTGGCCTTTTAATGGCTCGCCCAGTGGTGCTCCACTCTCTGCATCCCACAAGCACACAGTCCTGTCATGGGAGCCAGAGACAATATGCTTCCCATCTGGGGAGAATGCTACTGATGTGACCCAACCAGTGTGGCCTTTTAATGGCTTTCCCAGTGGTGCTCCACTCTTCAGCATCCCACAAGCGCACAGTGCTGTCATGGGAGCCAGAGACAATATGCTTCCCATCTGGGGAGAAGGCCACTGATGTGACCCAATCAGTGTGGCCTTTTAATGGCTCGCCCAGTGGTACTCCACTCTCTGCATCCCACAAGCGCACAGTGCTGTCATCGGAGCCAGAGACAATATGCTTCCCATCTGGGGAGAAGGCTACTGATGTGACCCAATCAGTGTGGACTTTAAATGGCTCACCCAGTGGTGCTCCACTCTCTGCATCCCACAAGTGCACAGTGCTGTCACCAGAGCCAGAGACAATATGCTTCCCATCTGGGGAGAAGGCTACTGATGTGACCGGATCAGTGTGGCCTTCAAGAACTCCAAGTGTTGCTGGCCATTTCTCCATCTGTCCCATTAAAATTGACAGAAGTTCTGGGAACTGTGAACGGAATCTTATGCTAACTTCTGACTGCACTGGTGCAAAGGCTAGGGCTGTCACATAGAGATGTGGTGTACTTTGAGTGATTGCAGCCCAGAAGAAACTGATAAATCGTTTTACATCTGCAGCAAACTGTCTTGTCATTGGATCCTAGTGAACAATTAGTCCCTTAATAACTTTCATCAAAATATATTTCATACATTACTCCATGTTATGAATTTTGATAGAGCCGGTGATGCAATGGATACCATTCCCAGTAAGCTTAGGACTTCCAGCCAGAAAAGACTTTTGGTTTCAAGGAACTTTCTAGCCATTGCTGAATTTTCTGCATTGATTGACACTGCTGCTAGATGGTCTGCCCAGAAACAGCAGCAGTATCTTATATACATTGGTATACAAATGTTCAGTTTCTGTCCAAGACCTGGCATTTCAACATTTTTCAGGTGTGATGTTGGCAGGTCGCAGATATTGAACTTGAGTTCAGTCTGCATTGTCTGAAGCACCCTAGATGCAACCTCCTGCTTCTGTTTCTCTGTCCCACACAAGAGGTCTGTACGATGTGTATGTAGCTTGGAGTTTTGGGATGTCATAAACTCTCTGAATGATAGATGTAAAATCTGCACCACTCCAGTCTCTGGTGCATAAATAACAGCACTTAGACGACTGAGTACCATTCTGACAGAATCCTCATCTGAGTTAAGCAATACTGCTAAACCCTTGGGGTCCACTGGCTGAAACAGCTCCAAAACTGTGCTGAGGATATTCATAGAAAGGATGTATAGATCTCGATCAAGAGGATCTGTCTCTGAGAGCATTGGAATAGCCTCATTGACAATATGAAAGTAT